TTCCAGAAACTTCGTTCTATGAACCAGAAAATGTTTTTTTAGTTATGGATATTGAAGATGTGAAGGATGAGCGTTGGAATGTGGTAAATAAATTGATTTAATGATCAATCGATTTTATTATCAATGATTCATATCGACTGATTTTATAAGTTTTCACGCATAGATTTGTTCGATATGCCAGAAACCTGGTGGCGCGTGCATTCAGTGTTCCAGTTCTTGCAATAAATATTTTCATATAACTTGCGCACAAGAAGCAGATTTCCATTTAGGGTTCGAGATGAATCCCCCAAGTGTTACAACATTGCGACCAGATATTTCAAAACCAAAATCAGAGTCGCCGGATAAACCTCCGATCGACACGATAAACGAGGGATTTGACGGGGAAATGTCATGCAAGGTTTATTGTAAGGATCACGAAGTACCCGAAAATTTTTTAACAATGAATACTCGGGACCCACAGTCACATCAGGTGTTTTATAGTTTCATCGAATGGTACTTTGCGTTGATGCGCACCATCATCATCTAACCTCAGCGTTTGTTATTTAGTCTGCGCTGTATGCATACATAAAAAAATATAAGAAATACGACTTGTCTCAAAGGGAGCGCAAGTTGCAAACCCGATACACTCTAACAATACCGGAACACATCAAAGCGCAAATGGATGCACAGAAAGCCTGGTACGAATTGTCAACTACAGACGACGATAGTGAAGATAGCAGTGATGACGAATTTGTGAATAAAAAAGGGAACCGGAAAAAGGAAGTTGAAGAAGATATAAAATTGAAGGATATTGAAGATGCACTCATTAAAAGTAACATAATGCGTCCATCAGACAAGCAGTGTTCACGTTGTTCGGTAACACGCACGATAAAGTGGTGGCCCGCTGATTGGCCTTATCTACCAAGAGTCACCAGGTTTTCGATAGGCGATGCCATAAACATTATCTGCCACCGGTGTTATCAAAATGAGAAGGCATCAATTGGAGAGGTTCCGGAAGAGGGTATTAAAACTGAAGACACTAAAAAGGGGGAAAAGGAGTTTTAGAAAGAGAGAAATAATAATATAAATGGCACGGTAGAAGGAGCATTTGAACTTTACACTTTCATCATTCCACGGTCGTATTTTTACTGCCTTTCTCCTTGATGTATATATAATTAGAAGCACTTTTCACTTCCTCATTTTTGATGTGACCGTTGTAAGTAGTTTTTTTTTTTTTTTTTTTGCTCCCTGCAATAGACTGGCTGGCCTTCCATTAATTAAAGTGCAAATAAAAGTGATGGATGATGGTTAAACATAAAAAGCAATAACTAGAATAGCTCTTTTTTCCCTATTTGAATTTTGATTGTACAGCTCGCAAATAAAATTGAATTTTATTGTTGCAAAGAAGGGCAATTGTATATTTCATCCAAAGATTCTGCGATAAGATCACCATCACTCAATTTCAACGACAGTATTGAATCGTTGACATAATCCATGCTTCTCATTCCAACCAAGGTGCAACCGACCGAAGAATTCGCCAAAATTATGCGAAGTGCTTTGATTGATAAAGGAGAGTGAGGCAATTGTTCACCGTGAAAAGATGGTGATTGATCATCATCGAGATGAAGTGAAGGTGATATTATAGAAAGAATTGAATCAAGTTCATCATTGATATTAATTAGATTTCCGTACGCGTATGAGATTATTAGTTTTGATATTTCTTGTATTTCCTATGTCAAAGAAATCTATTAATGAGAAAAGCGGTGCAACAAGAAATCAAGGGTTTCATGTATTACTTACAACGTGATACTTTATGATCCAATCCCTTAGCCGGTCCCTTCCTTTCTCCTCGGTGATTTCGGTGGTTTCAATCAAACTTGACAATGACTCTAAATCATTCCTAACATTTGGGTTGACTTGTTTTCTCAAGTAATATTTCGCAGCGAAATAATTTTCGGACAATTGACTCAGGTTTTCCGACAATATTTGTGTCCACGTGAATCTTGATAATATTTCGGGGTCGATAAATCGAACTTTAAGGTGAATAGGTGCCGAAAAAAAAAAAGAAAATATATATCAAACGTTTTATTCGTAAGGTTAATAATAGTATCATTCGATTGAAGACGTTAAGATTGAACGAACTTATACGCACACGATTCACCTAATTCGGTTTCTAATTGGTCAAGCCTTTTGAACCCATTGGCCAGGTCATCTGAAATTTGCTCGTATGCTACTTGCCGCGTGCAAAAAAAAAAAAAAAAAAAAAAAGGGAAGAAATTTTGAAATTTGATTACGAAATCAATGCAAAATACGAAATGACATTACTCACACACATTGTCCTTTGAATTTCTTCGGTTAACCAAGGGTCTAATCGTGCCTCCGGTGATTGAATGAAGCGGGCGATTAGTGAACAAGAAGATATCATTGGACTGAAAGAAGTATCAATTAAATTAAATTTGCAATTTCTAGATAATGAACAAACGTCTAATTCTTTCACCTCTGCATATTGAGCGAGAGAACACTGTCGCCCAACGCCCTTTCGGATTACATCTCTCTCGAAAAGATTAAAAGGAACCTGAATTGCCACGAAATTTTGTCTACTAGGTTTTGATAATTTTTCCAGAATCGCTGGTAAAGAGATGTGATCACTTGCAGTCGGTATTGCCATCGTATTTGAACAAACACCATATCCACCAATTCTTCCTGTCCAATTGCAATTCGTAATAACACTCTTAGAAATAAACCATGTCGGGTAATCAGATTCTACTTTTACATGTTGGGTAAACTCAATCAAATTCTGCTATCACTAACCTTTTGACACCTCTGTATCCAAGTAATGAAAAGATTGCTCCATGTCTCTATATAAATCGTCAATTGAATATTGCTACCAAAATAACAAAATATTCAACACGTAATGCATTAACAAGAGTAAAACTTTTACGACTCTATGTCGTGCGTCAAGTAAATTCCGAGTTACCCGATTTCTCGCTCGTAGCATCCTCTCCGGATTATTAATCATAAATATGTCAAGTTTCTTAAGTTGCAGCCGAGACAGTGACAAATTAATTTGATCGCGTAAAAAATCCGGAGAGATCGAATGCGCAGATTTGTTATTGATTTTCGCGAACGAATTATCCAAGCTTGTCACATCAGTTGCCTCGACATAACCTGCCTTGGATACTACCACTAAATCCTAATAATTCCATTTTTCGCTCGTAAGTATAAAACACGTGAAGATTTAAAAGTTTACGCGCTATGATATTCATACCTCACGAGAAACACTTCCATTCTTAAACATTCGCTCAAGAACTTTACCAATTACTTCTTCCGATTCACCAGCTTCAAAATGCGCACTACTGTCAATGACATTAATTCCGGATTGAATGGCGTGTTGTATTGCCCTTTGATGACCTTCATCACTCCAATTTATCCGATAACTACCGAAGCCCAAACGCGACACTTCTTGGTTTCTTTTTGCTATTATAGAGGTGGGTATAGAGGGGTTTTTTTGGAAGAAGGCATTGCCACTTGAATTTCTAAAAAATTGTGACGCTTTGAGCATTTCGTTGAACTTTGCGTTACGACTAAAAAGCCTTTTACGAACACAGCAAAATCCACCAGTAAAATAATTCTAAACTATATGTACAGTACACTATGACCTGTCTTATCATATTTTTTATATTTTTATTTTACAGTTGAAAAAAAATATATAAGTATGCTATAAAAAGTTTAAGTTTACTTATTATGTTTTTATTATAAATTTCAACTTTTTTTTTTTTTTTTTTTTTTTTGCCTTCTGTTAGACTAGTTACATATGCTTTATTAAACATTTGTAAGCTATATATATAATATGAGATGCTAAAGTTAATTCTTTAACTAATTCACTTATCTTGATTGTTTTTACCTTTCTAAGTACAACTTCGGAAGTAATTTATTGCTCCATTAGGAGTTTAGGTAAACATCCTTCCAACTTTTGATATAATTGCCTATAGATTACTACTGCAGATTATAAATTTCAACTTTATCAATTTAATTATAAAATTAAAGATTATAAATTTGTATGTATTATATCTTAATACTATTTCTTTTTTTTTTTTTTTTTTTTGAGTATCCATAGCAAAACTAGATCATAGTTTAATAATCAATTAAAATATAAGTATATTTTCATTCAAGTAGCATAATACATATTATAGTTAAATATTTTTATCAAATTCAATAAACTTATTGTAAGCAATAATAGTCTCTAAGTTTGATCTTGAGAACAATATTGTGTTTTATAATAGTTTTTGAATAAATACTTTTCTAGTTCACTACTTTCTTATCAATAAGTTGTCATTATTAAATATCTTATCAAATCACCAAAATACAGAAAACTATAAAAGAATAAATTGAAAAAAAAAAATAAATAATATCTAAAAATATTTAAGTGAATATATAAAAAAACAAAAATAAAAAAAAAATAAAATAAAATTTTTTAGCTTTTTTCAAAAATCTGTTTCTCAAGACTTTTTCTTAATAAAAAATGCTTGATTAAAATATCTTTTTTTTCTAACTATTTAAGAAACCTATTCATTCTTAATCTTGATTTTTTTTCTTATATACTATCAGTAAAAACTTATTATTTATTAAAAGTCTTTATTTCTTGTAATACAATCGGTTTCAACCTTTTTTGAACAATAATTTGTTATCTATCTACGATAGAAGTAAAGATAAATTTTTAATAAAGGAAGACAATAACAAAAATCAAATGTTTTTCACTAGAAAACATTAAAATTTTTAAATTAATAACTATAAAAAAACTTTTTAGAATAGTTTTTTATTATAAAAAAAACTCTTTCTGCAAATCTCTTAGATTCTTAGAAATTTTCTTTTTAGTCAATTTACCTAAAGAAAAAAAAACATCTTTATTCAAAACATATATTCTTGCAACACCAGCATACAACAGTTATTTTAGCACAAAACAACATTTCGTACATAGCCCTAGAGCAGTAGATTGTTGGAAAATATATATATATAGCAACAACTTTAGCTTTTTCTTCTTTTTAAAAAGAAGAAAGGAAACTAACATAAACTGATTCACAGTCAGAAAAGGGAATGAATATCAACTTCACAGAGCTTGCAGCCAGGCCAATGCAGGTTGACACCTTTCTTGACACTACAAAAAATATTAAAGCAAATAGGTTTGCTCGATAAATCAAGCAAATCTCAAATTCTTCAAAACCTAGAAAGATATCAAAGCTTTCCAAGGTCTAAACAGTCTAATATACATATTTCATCTCCATACACATCAAAACACATTACCAAAGTAATGCAAACATGTAACATATATAAAGTTGTTATCAAAACAAGTTTGACAAAAGTTCAACACAATAGCACAACAAGTATAACTTAAATTGATAAGATTATCAAACACAACCATCACAATAGAAAGTAATCAACGTAAACAGAGTGTCAGGGGTCAATAAAAAACACAACAAAGTCAGTGTAAACAGGTAAACAATCTAAGCAAAAAAGGAGAAATGACATGTGCCTAATCAAAACAAGATTAAGACACATATAAAAATAAGGTTATGGTAAAAAACAACAAGCATTACACATAAAAGATCATCAACAATTACTAAAAATAGTACTAAGGACATATATTAATCCACTTATGTGACTATTCATAATATAACACAACAATACGACAATAATATCAATCCACACATATACCCTATCATGAATAAAGCAAAACAGATACTTCAAATAGTAAACAATAGAGAAGATGATATTATTGACACACTAGTCTAATTGACAAAAAAGTATGATGAAACAGGCAAACTAGAGCTATGCAACAAATTATCAAACAAAAAGATATAACTAATCACAATGGTATGATGGCAGATGCTCTAGAAATATATACTATACTGGATAGCATTATTGTCAAAATCCTAGAAATATATAATACAACATTCCATAAGAAACAAATTCTTATATAACATATCATCTTTCTTTGGTATAAAAGAAAAGGAAAGAAAGTGGATTTACTTCAACCCTATATAGAAGATAGATACCTGAATATAATCAAAGAAAAGCTGTCAAAAACATCATCCATTCCAATGGAGATCACTACTGATATAGAAAATGGATTAACATTAGATAATGAAATAACAATGGTAGAAGATTAAGAACAGGAGAAAATAGAAGCAAAAACTCTCAAAGATAAAATTCAAGATCACAATATAAGTGAGTATAGCTCTTATGCTACAAGAAATAGGCAAGCAACCCCAACACTAAACCCCTATTTCATAAACAAAAAGGGCAAATACAA